CGCCCCCGTCCACCGCGCCGTCTCAGAGCCCCCGCGCGGCTTCCGAGCGCCCGGCCCCAGTGCCCCCTCCGCCCCGACCACTTTTTTTCGGCACCGCACCCCCCTCCCCGCTCCGCCCCCTCTCCCGCGCCGTCTCAGCGCCCCCGCGGCTCCAGCGCCCGCCCAGCGCCCCCTCCACCCCGACCATTTTATTCTCTTGCACGGCTGTGTTCTAGAGCTCGGACCCGTTTATTTTCGTTCGTCGTTCGTTCGTCATTCGCCGTTCGTCCCCCCCGGCCACAGAAGGAAACTCGTGGGGGAAGGAGGCGAACGCCTCCTGTCCCTCGCAGCTCCTTGGTGCAAGAGCCAGGACACGCGTGCCACTTGTTTTCGGTCTCGTGCGTGTTTTTTTTTGCGTTTGCTCGACGGTCCAGGGTGCTCCTCCGGGGTCCTCGCCGAGGAAAAAAATGCGCACGTCCGAGCGATGCCAGGAGTGGGGCCTCCGAGTTTGATGCTGTCCCCATCGTGCTCACGGACCAGCTCCCAAAACTAAATTCCAAGCACCCAGAACAATATCGAAACAACGCCGAAGGAGTATCGCCTCCCAGCGCGTCCCGCACGGCAGCTTTGCGCCTTGACGACGCGTGCGCGGACGCCGTGGAGGGGGATGCTCTGGCTGGTGTAGGAGCAAAAACCCATACACATAAACTTTGGCGCTCCGCGCGGATTTCTTGGATCCGCGCTGGAATCCCCCCTCTCTGGCGCGCGGAGCGCGTCCAGCTCGGCGCTAGAGGCGCCGCCAGGGGGGCCCAGCGCCGATCCAACAGCTCCGCGAGGAACGCCAAAAGTTGATGCTTACAGTCGGGGCCTTGACCTAAGGAACCCAAAATAAGGAACGAGGCTCCATTTTCCATAAGTTAAACTTCGATTCCCATCGAAAACATAAGGAAAGCCTGAGGCAAGCTGTGAAACACTTAAGGAACGCGGAGCCCCTCCCCAACGAAAGGGTTCCTTCTTCAGGGCCCCGACTGTATGGTTCTTGTTTCTTCTTCGATGGTGGGTTCCAGTGAGGCCTCCGAGAGGCGGGACACTATTCCTGGCGGTGCGCACAAGGAGGGGGTACGGCGAGGGGGAAGGCTTCTCAGAAGGAGACTGCTTCTCCGAAGGCGCTGACCTCACATCTAGAGACAGGGCCCGCGCCTTCTAAGCAGCAGGCGCCCTTCTTGGACATTTTTCCACTACCCTTATCCCCCTCTGCGCGTGGCCGACATTCAGAGCAAGCGCACGTGTGCGGACGCCGTTATGCCTCCCGCGCTCGCGCCGCCGCGTGAAGGCGTCAACGGATCAGCGCCTCAGATGCTCGCGTCTGACTGGGGGGGGCGCTGCTCACGAAGGCAGTCGGTGCTTCGCAGGCTGGGGTCTTTTTCAGACTCGCGTGTGTGCCCAGTGCAACGTTACCCCGCCCCTGCGACTGCGCGACCAATCCCCGCCAATTCTGTCTTCTGGCCATGAAGCGGATTCGTGTCGCGACAGCCGAAATGTTGGTTTCTGAACACGTGGATCGTCCGACCCTGAACGGTCGGCAGCTCTTCGATCGCCAAATCTTTCCAAATTGGCCGATTGTGGGCCATTGGCGGCGTTCAACTGTGAACGCCCGCGGCTGGGTCGCCGCCGCGTCGACACGACGCGAACCTGCCGTACCATGCGCGGTGGCGTCTGCTCGACCGCGTCCAGTTCCGGTCAGCACTGCTTACGCCTGCGGACCCTCTGACAGACTCGACGCTCGTATGCGCGATTCTATGACGATTTCCAGTGCGACGCGCCGGTCGGACTAAGTGGGTAGAAACATGAAGTAGGAAGGCGTTGGAAGTAGAATGGGCTTCCGCCCGCCTCCTGAAGAGGAGGGAGGAGGGAAACTAACCGATCCTTGAAGTAGGAAGGCGCCAAAAGTAGATTGGGGTCTGGGAATCCAAATGCTCCGACGGTAGGACCCCGCATGAGAATCCTTTCGGCTAATCTGGAAATAACTCTCATCGTCGTCCTCGTGATCGTCGGGCCAGAAGCTCTCGCCGACGCTGGCTGGATCGTACAGGAGTCGTGCGCGGCCAGAGGCTCGCATGCCTGACGAGGCCAGAAAGCCTCTCGCCTCGCTCGGTGCGCCTCCCGCAACCCAGCGGGGCCAGAGGCACGCGCATACACCGCACGAGGCTCCCGCCCAATACTCACCCCACATGCAGGTATCCCGAGCCCAGAAGTGACGAAAGGCACAAGTTTGAGGATGGGCCCGCCTCGGATTCGAACGTGAGCTGCGGGCCCCAGAGGGCGGAGGCTCCCGCCCGAGACCTCCTCGCAATTTACTCACACATGAGGCTCCCGCCTGGTACTTCTCCCATATTCGGGCCTCAGGAGCCCAAAAGTGACATCTACAGGAGTCCGATGGCCCGCCTCGGATTCGAACATGAAGCGCGGACCCCATAGGGAGGGGGCTCCCGCCTGAGACTTCCTCGCAATTCACTCACAGACGAGGCTCCCGCCTGATACTTCCTCTATATTCAGGCCCCAGGAGCCCAAAAGTGACGACAATCACAAGTGACCCGCCCCGATGAAAAACAGAAGCTGCGGGCCCCATAGGGAGGGGCTCCCGCCTAAGACATCTTCGCAACCCACTCACAAACAAGGCTCCAGCCTGAACCTTCTTCCGCACTCAAACCCCAGGAGCCCACAGCGACGACATCTACAGGAGTCCGATGGCCCGCCTCAGATTTCTAACATGAGCTGCGGGCCTCATAGGGAAGGGATTCCCGCCTGAAGCTTCCTTGCAATTCGCTCACAGGCGACGCTCCTGTCAGATACTACCTCTAGATTCAAGCCTCAGGGGCCCACACGTGACGACAATTATAAGTTTTCCGATGGCCCGCTCGGATTACAAACACGAGCTGCGGACCCCATAAGGAGGGGGCTCTCGCTTGAGACTTCCTCGCAATTCTATCACAAACGAAGTTCCCGCCTGACACTTCCTCCAAACTCAACCCCTAAGAGCCCAAACGCGACCACACTTACGGGGTTCCGATGGCCCGCGTCGGATTTCGAACATGAGCTGCGGGCCTCATAGGGCGGAAGCTCTCGCCTGACACGTCCTCCATATTCAGGCCTCAGGGGCCCCAAAGTGACGACAAGTACAGGTTTGAGGATGACCCGCCTCGGATTCGAACGTGAGCTGCGGGCCCCAGAGGGCGTATGCTCCCGCCTGAGACCTTCCTCTCAACTTACTAACAGACGAGGCTCCCGCCGGATACTTCTCCCATATTCAGGCCTCAGGGGCCCAATACTGACGACAGTTGCACATTTTCCTATGACCCGCGCGGATTGCAAACATGAGCTGCGGGCCCCATAAGGAGGGGGCTCCCGCCTGAGACTTCCTCGCAATTCACTCACACACGCTCCCGCCCGATACTTCCCTCATATTCAGGCCTCAGGGGCCCAAAAGAAATGTCAGTTACACGTTTTCCGACGACCCGCTCGGATTACAAACATGAGCTGCGGGCCCCATAGAGCGGAGGCTCCCGCCTGAGACTTCTTCGCAACTCGCTAACAAACGAGGTTCCCGCGTGATATTTCCTACATTTTCAGGCCTCAGGGGCCCATGCATGACGACAAGTAACAGTTTTCCGATGACCCGCGCGGAATATAAGCATGAGCTGGGGGCCTCATAGGGAGGGGGCTCTCGCCTGACACTTCAGCGCAATTCACTCACAAACGAGGCTCCCGCCCGACACTTTCTACATGTTCAGGCCCCAGGAGCCCCAAACTGACGACAATCACAAGGAATTCGTGTGGCCCGCTCGGATTACTAACATGAAGTGCGGGCCCACAGGGAGGGGGCTCCCGCTCAAGACTTCCTCGCAACTCACTCGCGGACGAGGCTCCTGCCCGAGACAACCGGCAGGCAAGTGATGATGCTGCTGCTGATGATGACGATGCTGATGATGATTATGATGATTGGAACTGATGATGGGGATGAGGCAGGTGGTGATGATGGTGTGCGAATGATTGAGTGCGTGAGGGAGTCACTCAGGAGAACTGAATGATCGAAAACAAGTGTGAATCAATTATGCTTGAATGAGAATGTTCGAGTGAGGGTGTGATGGTGATGTGAGTGTGTGGGTGTGTGAGTGGGATGAGGCCAGAGAAACCGTCATCAAGAGATCTCTCGCAGAGTGACAGAGTAAGTTATGAGTGAATGAGGGTGGTCGAGTGAGTGTGAGTGAGTGAGTGGACGACGATGAGGCTTGACAGTGCTGATGGGATAGTGGTAGTGGTAATGATGAATAAGATGATGAATGATGGTGATGGCGTTGATGTTGCTGATGCTGATGATGATCGGAGGAGTGGGTGTGAAGAGGAGAGGGTGTGGGATGACTGCGCGGGGTGTCCAGAGACAATCTCTGCGTGCGGCTACGCACAGAACGCGCGGGTCAGCGTCCCCGCGCCCGCGTTGGGCCGAGAGACAACCGGCGCCGTCAGACGGGGCCCGACTGGACCACTCCAAGAGAAAACAAGAACCCCACTTCGGATGTGGGGAACAATATATACGTGCAACCACTGGCGTGTACTCGGAAGCTCTCGCTCGCCTAGCAATCGAATTCGCTGTCTTCATAACATCTTCTGCCACATTCCCGTTATTGTGCACTGCTGAGTTTGCAACGCATGTCTTCTTCTGTTGCTGGCGCGCGCGCGACACTGCTGCTTGCGCTTCTTCTGTCACCCCTGCATGCTGCAGTGCACAAGAGAGGAAGCAACGCTCCTTCCAGATCGTCTGGTCGCGCTCGCTCTCCTGATTCCGCCGACCGCACACAAGGCGAAACAAGTCGTGCGAGCTACCAGAGCCGTGTTGAGCCAAGTTCAACAACTTCCATGAACAATCAACCTGACTGATGTCATATTGTGTGCCAAACCCACTTTGCCACCCGCTTCCCGCATCACATCGAACGCATGCGGGACGCCTGAGGATCACCAAGCGTGGGAGCCAAATATCACATGAAGACACATGTAATCCATTGTCACATAACTCCCACGCGTTGCAGCTATCTGCCCCTTCCCAGGATGACGCCAACCACGCACCGACACCAAACCTCGCCAAACTCATCCTGTGCCCGAAATGTGCGCATGTTCCTCCCTGGCCACTGTATCCAAACTTCCCTAGCCAAACCTGGCGTTGGCGCGAAATTGACCGTCCCCCAAACTTCCTGTGCTCCCAACTGTCCACCGCCTCCTGGTCACTGACATCTGTACCGTGAATACTGCGGTACCCCCTTCCCTTGCCGCTCCGAACTACTCACAGTCCGTGCCCACTCCTCCTAAGGTCGAGTCTACATACCAGTAGAACCGAACGTCGGAGCAACAAACTGCATAACCATAAACTTTGACGGTCCGCGCGGCGGATTTCCTGGATCTGCTCTGGTTTATGTAATTGTCGCTTCTTCAATTGTCCTGTTCAAGTCTGAAAGACGTGGGAACCAAAGTCATGCAGTCTTGCATCTTCCGTGCCATCTGGTGATGTGAAGACATTCGGCGGCGAGCCTGAGGGGGAAGTGAGAAGGGGCGGGCCTTCTCAAAAAGGCTCGGAGGTCCCCCGGCCTGCTGGGAAGTGTTCTGAGCCTTCCCCGAAGACGCCACAGAACTTCTCAGAAGGCGCGAAGGCTCCTGAGAAATCCCGCCGCCTTCTGAGAAGGCCCTCTCGCTCTCCCTTCCCCCCCTCTTTCGCCGCAGAACCTTCCGTGCCCTCCTGGTTATGTGCAAACAACGTGTGCGTGCTGGCTCCAGGGATCTCGCAGGCAAGAAAAAGTCGGGTGCGCCGGAGGGGGCAGGGGGGCGGAAGAGGAGGGGGGGTGCGCCTCATGGCCCGAAGCGTATGCGCGGACGAGGGGGCGGGAGGGAAGAAGATGAAGTCGATGAAGATGAAGACGACGAAGAAACATAATAATACTACGAATGATAATCAGAGACATGGGAAGAGTACTCGTAATACGAAGGCGAGGAAGCACGCTAATACGAATCAGACTCGCAACAACAACAATAATATAAAGCACATGCAGATAATAATAATGCTGAATAAGAAAACGGGAACATGACATCTGGGAGATACCATGGCCCCCGTGACGATCGCTCCCCCCCTCGTCCTGCCCCCCTCCTGGACGCCCCCGAGGGGAAGGCCAGCCATCGCCTGCTCCTCGTGCTGAGGTCCCTTGTCCTCCTTGCTCTTGCTCTGCGGCCGATGGCCAGCATGCTGAGATCTCCTGTTGGAGGTTCTGATAATGTATACGGTAGGTTCGTGCGGCGTCGGCACGCGCAAAGGTTTTTGACACCGCGTCGATCTTTCAACCTTGAATCGATCGCGACCCCGATGGTTCAAGGTTGAATTCCGTCGGGTCTAGTGGCGTTACTGTGTCCATCGGTGCTGCCGCGCCGCGGAATCGAACCTTGAACGCATTCGCCGGCGTCGCTAGCGCGCCAAAGCCGCATGAACCTACCGTACAGTGGAGGCCAGTCCACAAGAAACCTTCCACAAGACACCCAACCCTGAGTCCCCAGGACGTCCATCGATTTTGTGGTGTGGGAACGTCACGCCTTTCGTCGCAAGACCATCGCCGCCCAAGACCCCCAGGGCACCCTGGAGGCAAGCAGGGTGCTTCTTGGCATGGGTCTCCACTGTACTTCTTTTTCAACGCACCCTTGGGAGGAGAAGTCGGAAAGCTGAGAGGAATGACCGCGCGACGATCTCTCGAGGCACCTCGGCGAGGAGGAGCTCCGCGCCAGAGCCAGGCTACTCAGGCCTGGAAGACACAGACACCGAGTGAGGAGAAGGGGAGGACCTCCGAGCGTTTGTACATCACTAGCTCCCGAGGGAGAACGGTGGGGGGGGGCGGCTCCGTGAGGGGAACATCGGCCTGGAATCGGCGACACAGCGCCGATGCATCGGCGACAGGCCTCCGCCGGCGAAACCGAACGCTCCCTGGGCAGGGGGGGCGGACCATCGGGCCCCCATCGGCGATCAAGGGGCGATGGGGGGTCGCTGCGTCCCCCTCTGTGCCCTCCCCCACACCCCAGCGTTGCCCCCTGCCCTTCCCCGCGCGGAGCTTGGCGGCGCGCACAGGGGGGTAGGGGGAGGGGGGGAAGGCTTCTTAGAAGGAGGCTGCTTCTCAGAAGGCGCCAGCCCTACATCAACAAAGAAGGCCCGCGCCTTCTAAGAAGCAGGCGTGCTTCTGAGAAGCCTTCCCCCCTCCCCCTACCCCCCTCTGCGCGTGGCCAGGGAGCGGCGCCCCCGAGGAGAAGCACCGGCGAGGTCCTGGGAAGCTCGGACCCGATCTCTCCCCCTGGGCGAAGCCCTCGGGACCCCCAAGACGGGCCCTCGCTCAGACGCCCATGCCGTGTGCTTTTTTTGTCGGCTCCGTGCGCGTGGCTCTTTTCCGCCCAAGGATCGGGGATGCCCCTCGCTGGCCCTCGCCGAGGGAAGAACGCACACGCCCGAGCGATGCCAGGACGACAGCGCCAGGATCGCCCCAGACTATTCCTGGACTACTCTTGAATATCCCCCCCTGTAGTTGAGCAGGGACCGACCGTCCTGGCATTTCGCGGGAATCACAAAAGGTTCTCAGAGCATTGTCTGGTAGGGCTATAGGCGAGCCAGGGCGAGCCAAGTCGGGCGTGTCCCCCTACAGAGGGATTCTCGACGACAAATAAAAGATACCCCCCAAATGCTCCACAATTGTCCCCCTTATTTTTGTAGCGGGACAGGCCCGACTTGAGCCCTGACCCCCGCCTCTCGAGCCCGGCGTGCGGCCGAGCCGGGAGCCCCCCGCCGCCCCGCGGGCGCCGCGCCGCGCAGCGCGCGCGCCGCGCTCCTGCCCGGGCGCGCGGCCCCGTCCGCGGGCGCCGCGCCCGCGAGGCCGGCGCAGGCGCCGGCGAGGGCGGCGGCGCTGGCGCGGCGCGGGGTGGTCTCCGTCGCCTCTTCCTACCCTCCTCCTCCTCCGCCTCCTCCTCGTCCTCCTCCTCTCCTCCGCCTCCTCCTTCCTCCTCCTCCTCCTCCTCCTCCTCCTCCTCCTACCTCCTCTCCTCCTCCTCCTCTCCTTCCTCCTCTTCCTCCTCTTCCTACCTCCTCCTCCTCCTCCTTCTACTACCTCTTCCCCTCCTTCTAGTACCCTCCTTCCCCTCCTTCCACTACCCTCCTCCTCCTCCTCCTCCTTCTACTACCTCCTCCTCCTCCCCCTCCCCCTCCTCCCTCCTCCTCCTCCGCCTCCTCCTCCTCCGCCTCCTCCCTCCTCCTCCTCCTCCTCCTCGTCCTCGTCCTCCTCTCCTCGTCCTCGTCCTCCTCCTCCTCCTCCTCCTCCTCCTCCTCCTCCTCCTCTTCCTACCTCCTCCTCCTTCTACTACCTTCCTTCCCCTCCTTCTAGTACCTCCTTCCCCTCCTTCTACTACCTCCTCCTCCTCCTCCTCCTCCTCCTCCTCCTCCTCCTCCCTCTACTACCTCCTCCTCCTCCCCCTCCCCCCTCCCTCCTCCTCCTCCTCCTCCGCCTCCTCCTCCTCCGCCTCCTCCTCCTCCTCCTCGTCCTCCTCCTCGTCCTCCTCCTCTTCCTACCTCCTCCTCCTCCTTCTACTATGTCCTTCCCCTCCTTCTACTACCTCCTCCTCCTCCTCCTCCTCCTCCTCCTCCTCCTCGTCCTCCTCTGTCAATGAAAAAAAGAGGATCGGACCATGGAACGAGTCCAAGGGGCAGGTTTTTTCGTGTGCGAGCCCTGCCACTTCCCCCCGTGGAGGGTGGGACGCTCTCATGCGAAAATTTTGCGTGCGAGCCCTGGGGGGCAGTGGGGAGGGGCGGGCCTTCTCCGGACGGCTCACAAGGCCTCGGGCCTGCCGAGAAGTCTTCTGGGCCCTCCCAGAGGGCACGGAGCACTCCTCGGAGGGCGCGAGGGCTTCGGAGAAGCCCCGTCGCGGCGGGGGGGGCGCTGGCACGGCAGAGAGACTTGGAGGAGGAAGTGATACCGACTGAGACGAAGCCACGACGAGGACAACTTCGAGTGAGGATAAAAATCGAGACTCTCCGAGATCTGGAGGCTCTGGAGGATGCATCCGGCGCCGCGGCCTTTTCCGGATAGCATTTGTCCTCGTCCCAGCCCCGCCCGAGATATCGATGCCGCTGCTCGTCCTGGGGAGCCTCGTCGCCACGGCTGGATTCTCCTCGAGATTCTGGCAATAACGCATCCTGGGAGCGGTCCAGGGCGGCGGGGGTGGTTGCGCGATAACTGACCCCGAGCCAAAACAGCATGACTGCCCATGTTGAACACAAGCTGGAAATTCTCTGCCCGTTTATAATTGATTATGGGCCACGTCTACGTCGCAGAGCGGGGGACGGCTGGAACATGTCATGCCGCCCTTGGCAAACACATGGCCGCGATCGCCGCGGCGACCTCCCAAACCGACCCGCAAATTTGGTTCGGGCTCAGCAATAACGCAATGAGGGGGGGCGCCTCCGCCAGCTCCACGACTGGAGGCGAAAACGGCACGAATCTGAGAATTCGGAGTCCCGGGGGGCTTTCGCACGTTCTCGCCGACACAGCCGGGGCCTTGACCCAAGGAACCCAAAATAAGGAACGAGGCCCCTTCTTTCCATAAGTTGAACTTCGATTTCCCATCGAACATCTGTGGAAAACCGACTGCAAACTGTGAAACAATCAAGGAACACGGAGCCCCTCCTCAACGAAAAGGGTTCCTTCTTCAGCGCTCCGACTGCACCTGGAGGCTCCGGTGCCTCAGGACGCGTTCCAGCAGATGCCGTCCGCCGAGAGGCGCCCAGGGATGGCCGGCTCGCCCCGAACGGCCGGCCGAGGCCCGATCTGTGACCCGGAAGCCAACAGGCAGCAAGGGGCCCAAGGACACACACATAAAGACACACACACATAAAAATATTCCCAATATTTTCCAATACTTTCTGGATTTTCTCTTCTCGCCCAACTCCCATATTTTCCTATATTTTCTTGAGGATCGACGATTCATCGTGTCTGTGTGTTTCTTTCCCTCCTGAAGACAGGGGCCGCCCCGCACGCTGCGACTCCTTTTTTCCTGCGGGGCGTCTTTGCTTCGATCGCAGCAGCTTCGGCCCGCTCTCGAGCCCTGGAGCCATCAAGCACAGATCCGTGGCAACAGACTGCCCCATGGGAAGGAAGGAGGAGGAGGAGGAGGAGGAGGAGAAGGAGGAGGCGGAGGAGGAGGAGGAGGAGGAGGATGGGGGTGGAGGAGGAGGAGAAGGGGGGTGGAGGAGGAGCGCCCCGCCGGAGCGGCTCGCGCCACCGTCGTCCCGCCAGGACCCCCGGGGCCGCGCACTGAAGCACTGACGACGCAACGCTCCTGCTGTCCTCGGCCCCCCTTGCTCGCCATCGCTCGGACATCCATTCCCTGTGTTTTTTTCGGTTTCGTGCGTGGTTTTTTCGCCAAATGGTCAAGGATGCTCCTCGATGGTCCTCGCCGAGGAAAAAACGCACACGTCCGAGCGATGCCAGGCTTGGGGCCCTCGCCGGGCTCATGACCGCCAACCTGCGACTCGGGGTGAAGAACGGGTCCGGCGAGCGGGCCGCCCCGCACCCTCACGGGACCCGCCCGGGCGAGGGAGCGTAGAGGGAGGGGATGGTTTGACTGGAGGGCGCAAGTGGGGCCCTCGAAAGGCGAGGCCCCCTTCGGAACAGGCATGCGCATGCGGGCGCCGTCGATGTGGATGACTTGACTGGAGGGTTCAAGTGAGGCTTCCGAGAGGTATGACACAGTTTAGGAGCAGGGATGCGTGTGCGGACGCCGTCGAGGGGATGATCGGACTGGTGGGCTCCAGTGAAGCCTCCGAGAGGCGGGACGACATCTAGAGCAGGCATCCGTAAGTGGACGCCGTAGGATGATCGGACTGGTGAGGTGCACAGAAGCCGATGAAAGGCGGGACACCATTGAGAACGGGCATACCTATGCGGACGCCGTCATGCTTTACGCGCTCGCGCCGCCATATGAAGGCGTCTCGGGTAAG